TGGCAGGGATGCAGAACCAGTGAAGAAGAGAGAAGCCACTCCCAGTACAGGGCTGTATCTTGGATAACCCAAGCTCCAGTGCCATGTCTAGCTACCGAGACATTTCACTCTGACAGCATTCAACCCAAATGAAACTTCAGCATAACTTACCACCAAGTTAGAAAGGAATAAAAAGTGCCCCTTCAAAGATGCGTTAATGGGAAGGAGAAATAGCACTACAGCAGCTAAGAAAGTCCAGTGGTACATCTGCTTCAGCTACATGAAGTTACTTTTAAAGTTGGTCTGTTAAGATGGCAAAAGCACTGGGTAAAATAATATAATGTGATATTAAAGGGATTCTGCAGATGGATAATTTATTGTCTAGCACTGAATGAATAGTGTGGGCAATTTTCCACTAGTGCTTTCATTCTAAATTAAGTGTTAACTCAGCCATATGTGCCCCTTACATTGCAATTGTCAGTATGTTCCATTTGTGTCATGTCTGGTTAGTCACTGAATAAAAACAATGACTTCTGCATCCAATATAATACATATTTAGAAGACTAGATATAGGTTATTCATTTATGCATTGTTTACACCATGAAATTTCAGGGAAAAAAATACAACTTATCCCAATGAAAAGGAAAGCACTCTGCTATTGCTGTTATATTTATGAACTTTACATAAATTTCCAGATACTTCTATTCTGAATGAAAAATCAAAGCATTCTTATGCACAGAAAAGTACAGTTTATCAATAGAAGAGGTATCCGGATAAGAGGAGACAAATTTATATTACATTCCCTTGCCCAAAGTAATATAAACAACTTTTTCCCCCAAAGAGTTTCCTAAACAAAGACTTTATATCGACATATAGTCTTACTCGGTAGTCAGTAGTCACTTGAGCATTTCTTTAGTAGTCAGTCAGTACAACTACTCACAACAGTAAAGTCCACAGGACTAGATTCACAATGCCAAATTCAAAATACCACAAAAGAAGTTTTTCAACTGCATTTTGCTTTAGCAGCTGGGCAAAGGAGAGTGATTCATTCCTTCAAATAAGAGCAATATTGCAATATATCTCATCTCTGCCAGGGACTGGGTTCAGTTAGATTAAATACATAAAAAGAGGAAGATTCACGATAGCGAGAAACAGGAGATAAAATAGACGAGACTTGGAACAGCTAAGGAAGCCCTGAGAAAGTAATAGATGAATGGGCTGTTTTGTAATAAAAAAAACAATTCCTCAAGTATAAGAGAGTACTTTCTATTTCAATTCACCACTAACCAGAGTTAAACTCCTATAAAGCAAAATAGGACCAAATATTAGTGCTCACATTGGATGGCGCTTTACAGGACAGGAATCTCCAAAATAAAGTCAATGTCTTGCAATACCAGCTGGCTTCTACAGCTAAACAATACTTAACTTAAAAAAACTAATCTACTCCCTTCTTTTCTTTAGAAAGTCCGTTCCTAGTAAGAGGACCATTTAGAAGTTGTCCAAGTTTCAAAACATCCAAAAGCACTCATTGCTGGCTTCTCTCCATTCCCACTGAACTTGCTGGGAGGTTTCTCACCAACTCCAGTACATGTAGACTTCAACATACACAGCAGCACTGTTGGACTTAAGCAGTTGTTCGAAAATACAGACTTAAATCTGGTAATATGAGCCTAACAAATGTTTTAATGTAATTTACATCATGGTCATTTCAATATAACGTTATCCAAGTTCTCTTTGTGTTGCTAAAATAAAACTCTGGAGGTTAATGTGTCTCAGTGGCTCCAGTACTATTTGACATCAGAGCAAAGACTACAAGCCCACTAGTGTATGGAGCAACCTCAAATCCCAGGCTCATGCTCTCATCACCATGGCAACTTGATTCTTCCCTTTCATCATTGCATGCCAACTAAAATTTTGAGTAAACTATCTGCCCATACTTTAAGGCTTTTTTGTTTTTTGGTTTTTGGTTTTTTTAAAAGATGTCAATTCTCTGCAATTATGATTTAAACTAACTAGTATTGCTGAGATATTTGGACCTTTCAAAGACAAAATTTGCAAAAATCTGAATAAATAAGGCTACTGAAAGCCAGCAGGAGTACAAACTTGCTGGAAATATTACCAGTACAGACAGTTTAAAAAAAAAGGGACAAGTGAAAAACATGATCTGAATATTGTAGACTTTGAGAAAGCTGAGTTCTAGCACCATAGCCACATCAGCAGAATCTACGCCTCAGTGAATATCCATACACACAAACTTTTTGAGGGAAGAATACTAACTAGGATAGTTTTCCATATGCTTTTAATTTAATGCTAGACAATCAGTTTAGTTTTCAGGAAAATTCAGTTTTCCCTTTTGGCATACAATACTTTGTTAAAGCTCAGCACATTTCTTGGCTCTCCTAATTGCTCACAAGGATTCTCAGCCAACAGTCAAGTGCTTCTGAAAAATTAACAAACTACATGCTAATTCCCCAGTTGTTTTATATTTCTAGTCAGTTCTCTCAATGTCAAGCGTTAGCCAATGATAATATATATTGGGCATGAAGCCATCATGCACTGCTCTTCTTTTCAAGCTTATTATGACTGCAAGACACTAAGTAGTATATCCAAAGGAAAGGAACTGGGAAAACATTGCTGAAAACTATCTGCTGATATCTATTCATATAAAAAGCACAGAGCCACTACTACCACACTTCCAAAACCATGTATTCACTTTACAGGAACATTGAAAAGAGCAAAACTTTTTAGCCTTAGCGCCTGCAGGAAGCAAATAAATTTATCTGTTCAACTAGCATATAACCAAACACAAAAATATAGCTGTACCATATTTGAAAGCTACTACTGGTGTATATGTGTGTGTGTATATATATATATCTCCAATAATTTTGTAATAATTTTAATTGAATTAAATTTAATTGACTTCTGAAAGTCAAGTTTGTACCCATTTCAGTGAATTTTTCACAGTGCCCAAACTCTCACAGCCTGTTGTTAACTCAGGGTCTCATAAAACATCTGCACTGAAAAGCTTGGGGTTGAAACAAAAATAGATAAGTTACATTAAAAAGTAATTAAGAAAATCCCTAGGGTCTGGTAAATATACTTTAAAGTGCTCATGGTGATGTTTCAGATGTTAAGGCCAAAAGTACTATTATAATGCCCACGCTTGTGCCTAATAAAAGCCATGCCTTAGATGAAGATCTAGTGCCTTTCTAAGAATCCCACTCCATTTATTTTGAGAGATTTCTTAAATGCAAGGCTACATCAATCAATCTGACTTTCACTCTCTTTTAAATGCATCAAGTTTTTAAAGCTACAGTATACTTGTGTGTTTTTTATCTTTACCAGTAATTATCAATTTTAAAGCTTCTTTTGTCTGCTAATTGGGTGACTACTCTAGGTAGTATGTCTCTTCATACTGTGTGCCGTGATAGTGAAAAAATAAAATGACAGCCATAAAAGGGCACATTTCTCTGTGTAAACTGATGTGTCACATGACTAAATCATCACCTGACCACATCATCATTTGCTATGATACACATTTTTGTAGGCTACACATTTCTGCAAGCTATCATTAATTGCTACAAAGATACCAGATTGCTTTTGCTAATTACCTGACACTTTTTAGCAGTGTCATGAAGACCAAATAGCCATTTCCAGGTATCAGCTACCTGCTAACTTTAGAAGCGTCAGAAAGAGCCCATGACTCAAAGAACTAAAAACCATTCTCTCTAGGTGTTCTAGGTGGGCAATTATATTTAGATTCACTGTAAAGATCACTAAATTTTTTTAGATCTTTATTCTGTAGGCTCACTGAACCTATTTTAGTAGATACAAGAACGAGTTAGATAGAAATGGAGTAAATATAGTCTTATAATGAAGCAATCAACAAGAATAGAGACAGACGGTTTCCAGCACTTGAACTGAATGCTTGTATCCTTGCACAGCACGCCTTGCTGGGTTCTAAGAATTGTATTGGTGGGGAGCCAGGAAGTGCCCTTACAGTTTTTCCTTTTTAATTCTAAAGCAGAAACAAAATATTGTCATTACACACATTATCCTAGTGGAACAGCTCCAGTAGATGCTGAAGCAGTAGGCATTAGCACTCTGTTAGCCTATTAACCTTAACCTCTTTCTTTGCATAAGGAAGCTGCAGAGTGATTTCTTCTCTTCCCAGGTAAAAACTTTGATTGCTGCTCAAAGCTTTGCTGCCTTAGGCATCTGGGTGTTCCTAAGTTTTCTGGTAACTTAAAAATGTTCTTAGAATTCCAGCTGCACTAGTTCACTTATATCTCTTCGAGGAACACATACCAGTATAAAGTTATCAAAAATACATAATATAGACAGGTTAAATAACCTACCTCTCCTCTCTCTGTGCCTCAATTTCTTCACCAGCTTTTGATCATAGAAGAGTCCAAAGAGAGGACTTCCAGCTGATGGGAGAGTTCTGCAAGTCACAGAGGCTCTCCTCTGTAAAGCTACTCCTCTGTATCATGACTCTCTTTCCTACTCTGCTCCAAATCAGTTTCTTGGGATGCTGACTCATACCAGAAACTAAATCATGCCCCATGCTCCAAAAGCATGCTCCTCCGTTTTGCTTTTGCCCAAAACGTTCTCTGCAAATCCTTGGAGTCTCTTCATACCTGGTAACAACACTAGGTTCCTTTGTTCTGCTAGGGGGAATTTTTGCTTTTCACAGTCCTCTTTGTGCACTGAAATTCTTTTCGTATCAATCAATTCATACTGTAAGGAATCTCTCCAGGAATAAGCAACCAAAATGAGCATTATGCAACATACATGGTCGACTACTCCAGGATATTCCATAGGTAGCATGGCAACAATTGTTCAGAGTCAGTTATTAACAGCACCATAAATTCGTTTAATAAAAGGGGTGCCCATAGAAATACACCTTTGTCAGTCTGTCTCTTAATGCTTTGGACCTCTTCAGTTTTGGCATCTGTATAACCACACTTATGCATTTCCTTTTTCATAACTAAGACGTTCTTTCTCTCTCTGCTGTACAGAAGTTCACTTGAACCAAAGCAGCCCAATCAGTGAATTTCCCAGCTACAGTGAAAATGGAAATGATCCCAGTCTACTTGTTTCACCCCTTCTGGTGGCTGGAGTGGTGATTGGACTTGTGCTATTTCTATCCTGTGTTACAATCATTGTCGGCAGTCTGCGAAAGGATGGACGGTTAAGACAGCCACATCTGAGGAGAGATGCTAGTTACGGTAAGAGAGCGCTAACTAGCAAGATAATGCTTAGAGCTGTTAATATCTGGTACTAAGGGCACCAAAAAGCATCTGGCCACTGGGTAAGCGATAAAAATAAATAAATAAGTAAAAAATAGGAAGGAGTAGGTCACAGCCAGCTTTGTAGTTGCTATAACAGCATCTTTCTGCTGGCACTGAATTCACACAGTACAAGCCCCATAGTTAAAGGTTAACAGGAACAAGTCAAATGCCAGCTGCATTTCTTAAACAGCTTATTTTTCCTTGATACTAGATACGATTTCTTCTCCCTCCCTAGATTCTTGATACAGTTTGTTTTCATATCTCGTTATAGCCTTGGTATAGGGTATAACCTAATTTCTATCTGCTGGAAAGTAACAACGTAGTGACCAATTTCTTGAACGCAGATTCATGGAATCTTTTTGCTTCTGGAGTCAGCACCACCTTACAACAATGACTTGGCAAGTGCTCCTTTTCTCACCACACAAACTAATAATTGGATATAAGTAGAACAACAGGGTATCGAAATCTCATTACATAGACAATTGCCATCATTACTAGATTGACTGGCTTACTGTCGAAAAGTCCCAGTTTTGCTTTCTGACAAAAATCCCCTGTAATTTAAAAGGAATTGGTAGTATGAAGGAGTAAAGATAGAATTACATTTTGGGCCAATTTTTGGTTTGCTGACCAGAAGTTGAAAGCCACTTGGTCAAGGAAATGGCAGGATCACATTATTTCTATATTTAAGAAGAAACAGGTTACAAAAAGGGACTTCATAGCCAGGTCTTCAGCTAGTAAAAAATCCAAATAAATATGGATTAATGAATTCAGTGGAGCATCAGCAACTTCTGTCACCTGTGGTTTTGCTCCGTTATCTGCAGGTTGGTTTTTTTTTTTTTTTTGGAGAGCACAGTTCTTTGCATATTTTTTGAGTTTTCCTTTTTCTATATAGAAGATAATACTGCACCACTTAAAAATGCATTGGATCAATTCTGATTTCACTGAGGCAAATGAAGTATCCACTGACAACAATTTTTTTTTTTGGAGAGCACAGTTCTTTGCATATTTTTTGAGTTTTCCTTTTTCTATATAGAAGATAATACTGCACCACTTAAAAATGCATTGGATCAATTCTGATTTCACTGAGGCAAATGAAGTATCCACTGACAACAATGGGACTTCATTTAATTTTTTGGACCAGTAATTTTTGTGTTTAGAAGAAATATGTTATTTCCTAGAATCAGTTCATCCAAATTAAGTCAGGAATAATTATTTTTGTTTTTTCTGGAAACATTTATCCAGATAAGTGAATAATGCCTGTGTTTTGGGACTAGATTTTAAACTCCAAAAGAAGTGAAATTAGAATTGTCATGGTAATTTATGCGGGGGGGGGGGAACAAATTAAGAAACCCTAGTGCCCTAGTGTCTGTTTTTGTAATATCTATTTTTCCTACTTTTCAGCAGCTAAATTTGGGATTAAATAGTTAAATCCAAATTTGTGCAGTTACTGTTCCACCCATGAACAGGTATACAGCAATATTTTGGCAAGATAAAATATCCAACATTAATTTACAATCACTACATTTAAATCTGCTGCTATGTTAGTTTCAGCTCCTTAAAAAACTCTGAAGCCAGTCCAAGACATAAAGGACAATTTTCATACGGCTTCTTAGAAATAACAGTGCTGAAGAAATGGAAGACGACAAGCATGGTGACATTTTCAGAGAAATTGAAAAGAATAATCTTAAAATAAATTGTGCCCATCCCCCTAAGAGAAAATTTCACATTAGCACACGCCATCCTAATATCTCAGTGTGCTTCCACTGGCCAGAATGGGAGCAGCGGGAGTCACTGAAGTTGGCTCTCTTAATTTATCAAGCAAAAGGAGAGCGCAGCGCATAATAGACTGTATTAGTCCTGGTAGAATTCTTCAAGAATAAATTGGCAGAGCTGAAAATTGCCAGAAGAAGGAACAGGCGGTTTAAGACTTACTGAATTGAGACCTGCCCTTTACCTCTGACAGGAAAACACTACTTTGATTTCACTTAGATGTTTGCACTTGTCTCCAGCTACTATCTTAACACACTGAGCAAAAAAGGAGGGATCGCTTTATGTGAAAGGCAATTTTTTTTTATGCTATATTTCCACAATTCAGAGCCTGCTTATGGAAATTTACACTGAAATCTTGAGTATTAACTATCCTCAAAGATACAAAAGAGTACCATCTTTTTGGTAGTTCTGCAGCTCTCCTTTCTCTTGTCTGAAAGCATTAATAGTGCCCTGAAGCTGGTAGCAGGATGGTTCTCTCTCCTATTTTCCCATTTTTCCCCCTTTATGTCAGCATATGTATTAAGATTACCATTTTCTCTCTCAAAACACTAATACCTAAAATCAGATGTATAAGCCTATTTTTAAGCACCTGCATAGGACTGGTGAGGTTTCAATATATGCAGTTCCTGAGAACTTCAGCAATCTTGCTGACATTTGAAGTTGAAGGCAGCAGAACTTACTTTGTTTCATCCCTTAACGCACAGAAAGAACTTCAGACACTTGCATCTTGTAGGGCAGCACTAAAGATATATAGACCCCTAGAATACCAGTAATTCTTCTGCCTCAGATAGGTTTTATTTTCTGACTATGGCAGCATTGTAAACAATAATATTCCATCAGAGAATCCATCATGGAAGGAAAAAAAAAAAAAAAAAAAAAAAAAGAGTGAGTATTAATTGCTTGTTTTCCAGCTCCAGATGGCTTCTCCTACGGTGGCTCATTTGGAGAGCTGAGATCCACCTGCATGGAGGAGTTCCCCCCAGCTTTTGATTTTGGTTCCTATTTGGAGACACTTTCTCAGGTCAACATCATGTATCCTGATTCACCTCCTTGGTAAGCCCTGTTCTAAGATTCTGAGTTTTGTAGACCTGCACTTGCAAAGCCTGTTGAAGAGGAAAATAAAACTGCTAGACCTACATCCACTACAAAAAGCAGGTCTCACAAACTAAGTAGAAATGAACTTTGTTTAGCTCAAGTGTAAGATTTCCTTAGCAGAGTATCACTTTACTAAATAAAGCCCTGTGTACAGCCATTTGTCATTTACTAATATTCACATTAATGTTAATATTTACTGGATTCTATTAATTAAAATACACAAGTAAAATTACCTATGAACATCTTTCATTGGAGGAAACTATTATGAAAATCAAAGTTCCACTTTCAGGAAAGTGAAAATTTCAGATTTATACCCCCTTAGAATCAAAACAGATTTTAACATTTTGAATTTTGAACCCATAAAGACTAGAAATAAAGAGACTTATACTATGTTTACTCACACACCTGCAAAGCCAAATTGTTGCAAATAAGTTGCTCTGTATCTATGGGCTAATTTCTACTGTAATTTAGACATAGCTTCCTAATTGTCAGTAGTTATTCTGGATTCATATAAGTACAAAATGAAGTACCTTTAATAAAAAGGACAATAGTATCTTTCCTGGTGACAGGCGTCACTTATTAGCAGGATATGAAGTAATTGCAGTTTGGTTACTTTGTAGCTCTGAAGGCATCTAACATGTTTTCTACAACTTCTGTAACACAAAGAAAGGTCTCTTCAAGGTGCTACCTTGTAACTGCTGTGCACATAGGCATCCTGTTCATACTCTGTATAGCTGGTCTGTACCGTGACAATGCAAATTGAAATGACTGAATCACAACTTTGATTAATATGAATGGGATCTAATTCTTCAACAGCTTATTGTACTACCTTGGACAAATCCCTTGGCTCTCAACCCTCTAGCTGAGAGATGATAACGATACAAAATCCTCTGCCTTCAGGTTTCTGCCCATCTGGCAATTATTTGGCTCAGAAGTAATCTCAGCAGGTGTGCAAACAGCATGTACACCGGAAGAGTCCTGGAACTGGTTATGATTACTGGTTAAACACTGCTGTGATTCTGCACATTGCACTGATTTTATAAAGGTGATCTAAATGCCAGTGCTCATGTATTCTGAAACATCACAGATAGCCTTACATACTAATTTGTGCAAATGCAATCTCCATAATTCTTTTTACTTGTTATTTACAAGCGCAAAACCAACAGCCATTATTTGACAATATATTTAGTCCTACATACCATATGTAAATAAAAGTAGCTCTTAGTAAAATACACTTTAAAAGGTATTTTAACTTTCAGGTTACATTTATTACTGACCTTGAGACTGTTCACATCAAAGTAAATAACAAAAAAAAAAGAAGCATGAGAAACCTTTCCCCTCAATTACTCTGCTCTTCCATATTTTCCAGTAAATCTCACTTATTAGCTTTCTTAACACTGTTCTACCAGCAAGCAGAACTGGAGAAAACCTGTTATTCTGACACACCTAGTAATTGTACTTGTCCTACATTAGCAATATAGGATAGCATTTTCAGCCAAACCATTTTCCTTTATTCTTGCTCCTTCAAGGCGTTTTAGAGAAGTCACATTAATCAGTAAAACTGTCTCATCAAATACATGAATATAGGCAAAGTCTGACTTAAGTTGAACTATAAGGGGATATTCCTAGACATTTCCAAGAAACCGAAGATATCTGTTACACAGTTGTACAGGCATAACCCATTAAATGGCTAACAGATAAGTTATATACTTAATTTTAGAGGCCGTTTAGCTGTAACTAACCTTGTACACTTGGTGAAACTAATGGGAATAAGATTCCCAATTTCATAAGCAGATTTGCAAAATTTTGCCTAAATAAAACCTCCTCTTTCCACATTCAATCCAGTTGGAGAAAATAAGTCCATATTGTCCACATTGCTGCTTACAAACAGCTCTGCCATTTTTTTTAAATCATTGATTTGACCTTTCTTGGCTAGATCTTGTCCTTATTACCTTTGACAACAGCATAAAAATATCTCAACAGAAACAGATTTTCCCTCTTAGTTCTGTGTATCAGTTATAATAGTATACCTGAGTTTTGGTATATGACATAACAGCCACCCAAAAGGATAGTTTCCCTCCAGGTGATCCAGCAGCTTCACATCCTATTATTGTTTGCATATGAAGTGGTACACCTCCACTACAAAATTTGCTCCAGTCAACTTATTCTGAATTGGCTTTGCTTAATTCTTGCAAGCTTGCACAACTGCTGTGACAACAAAAAGCAGCCTTCAGCTTTTAATCAATTCCTTGAGAATTTCTTCTGTGCATAGCACTCCTTAAGTGGGAAGGGGTACCATTCTGCCTAGGAGATATTGCATCAACGGAGGAACTCCACCTCCTAATTTGGGATGGGGATAAAATTGTTTGGGATTGTTTATCTCATATGAATAATCTTTGAAGGAAGAAGGCTACCATTTTAGTTGTTTAACCCAAAACTGCACTGCGCAGGCACAGTTGCCTGCATTGTAGCATCTTTCCAGAAGAATGTCCTTTAAATATCAGGCAGTTCTGATATCAGGCAGTATCAGTTTAAATTGCTTGGTGTGGTAACACTGCCAGAAGAGGTCTTCTGAAAGAGTTAATCCAGAAATTATATAGCAGTTCTTTCCATATTTGTGAGTGTCTGGGTTCATGCATTCAGAGGATACAAGAACTGCTGTAGTGAATGACAAGAGTTCACTTCAGGCTATCTATATCCCCCTTTGTATGCCTCATGTACTTTGAATTAACACACAAAGGAATTCAGTTTCTCCCTCTAATGAAACAAGAGAAATAGTTTTAAACAAAACATCACTTCAGGCATTCTGTAGCGTTGTATCTTACAAAGAGTAAATAATGGTTGAACAGCCCTATGGGACCTTTTTTTCTTTTTACTTTCTTTTTTCTCTTTTCTTTTAAGCAGACGATGTTTTGAGTTAAACCCGTACTCATAAGACCAACCCTTTTCTAACTGCTCTTGTACATAAACAATATGGAGACAGACGGAGTATCTTTTTCCATGTTCTTGCTTTAACAAGTTCTCAAAAAGTGGCTATGAAGACCTTTCTGGCTGTGTCTAGGACTGCCAAAACAGACAAAGCGTGTAGCAAGGACACAAGCATTAGGTGACTAGCAGACAAAATAGGCCTTAATGAGAGCTCTTCAGAAGCAAGCCACCGGTATGAACACGAGATATAGAACTCTGGTTTTTTTCTGTTCCATAGTTCATGTTGTACAATCAACCTTTATGTACCATTTATTGATCATTCCAAATGAACTACTATTACACAAATCCATATGAAGTAATAAATGGACTTTTAAAATTGGTGCAAGTGTTTCAGCGGAAAGCTCACATGTGAAAAATTATTCTGAGCCTGGCATCTAACCTGTAAAACTTCATATAAATCCACTTACAAGTTTACACTGTTTTTTGGACCCACACCTACAAGTCTTTACTAATAAAAGTAAGCCAGCTGACACACAAGCAACAACTTGAGTGGGCAGCTGGCCAGATTTCTGAGAACAAGCTCCAGTTCCTGTGAAAAAGCTCAGAGAACATATTTCTTTAGCAAACAGGCCTTATAAGATTATACAGAAGGTTTCTTCCATTTTCAGTACAAAACAGGCCCAAAGCAGGGCTTTTTGTCTCTGTGTTCTCTGTTTGGAAGGGGGTACACAAGTGGTACAGGATAGCACTAATGTCTATGTTTTCCCATGAATTCTCCAGCTACTTCTATAATGAGAAGCTTGGCACAAATTAACAGTCTCGAGCATGTCCTACCTTGTTCTAAGAAAATATTCTGGGATGTCAATAAGCCAGGATCAGAGAGCCATAAAGATGCCCACCACTGCCTCCCCAAGATTCACTCCTGAGCTCAGTGGACTGCAGCCCTCAGGGGCCCAAGATCCAACTCTATATATATATAAGAAAACACTGTTCATCCTATTATTTTGCAATTCTGCATCACAGGTCAAAAGTAAAGATAACTTTTTATTGTTATTGATTTTCCTGTTTTCTCACTGCTACTGAAGTATTTTAGAAAAAAATAGTTTTGGCAAATGATCAAAATCTTATTTACATCTTAGCAACACAATTTGGAGAAAACTTCAGGAAAAGTACAGCATAGCAGATGGCTGAAAACAAAGTTATGTAGAGAGACTTTTAAACTTGCTATTAATACGTTATATATTCTTTTGTAACTTTCTGTTCACAAAAGCACTGATGAAAAATCATTATATGAATACGTTTTAAGAATCTTATGTAAGAGTCTGATAAATCTATGTATAGCTACCTCCACACTGTCCTCCAAGGAATAATATTAAAATGTATATTTGCTAATTAGTAAAGCATTAGTAGAGACATGGAGATTATTTGGACTGAGGGTTCTCCTTTATTACTGTGGGTGCTAACAGCAGGAGCTGGCTGTCAGACATGGCCTGAAAGCAAGCAGAAGGAAGAAGTCTTTGACCTTGTGCATTTAAAATATTAAGCTACATATTATAACGTTCTGAATAGCAGAATAGTTTAGTGAAATGTAGCATTGACCAAATAAATGGAATTCCTCCTTCTAATTTGTGCAGCAAAAGATGTAATTTAAAGCTAATTTAACAAACCCAAAAGCCAATAACACAACTGTAGCATAAATAGGAACAACAGAAATAAAGAACAGCAAGGGAAACAATTGCTTTGGCAGATACCTGTCAGCACACGTTTGAAGTGAAATAATTCATTGAGTGAAAACCAGTGCTGTGCTGCCACAGCCAAGCGCTAAGATGTTGGCTTCATTTAGCAGCATTGTTCCAATATGGCCTGCAAGAAGCAGCAGCATTATATCACGACATATTGGGTGCTGTGGAGATGAGCATTCTTGAGCATATTGTTTTTATTAAAAAGCATACTTTCAGGAATGATTTTGGCAAAAAGCACAACGCCTCTATTTGGCCAAGGGGGTGAAAATAACCAGTTTGGAATGTTTT